TACAGAAAACTGCCTGTGGTATAAAATATTAAGTAAAAATGGTTACAAAACAGTACAAACAGGATGACCTTCTCTTTATACAATTTTTATGAAACTATAATGTAGACATATATGTGCACTGGAAGAAAAGATATCCGAATTTCAAGTGGCTTTCTGGGGAATTTAAATTTTCTTAAGGTACTTTTCTAAATGTTCTCATTCAACAATGAACATGTATGACAATCACAAAAACATTAAAAAATAAATGCAGTGGGGGCGGGGGCTTCCCAAAGGGCGCTTGTGTCACCAGGGCTTTTCACTGGAGTGTGATGCACGCTGACCCTTGGCCTGCAGCATCCTCCCGCGTGGCACGTGGCTACTTTCCTAGGTTTAGGGGTGGCCTCCTCCGGAGCCCCCAAGCCAATCCCTCTTTCCGACTTTAGACCCTCGCTGACTCCTGTTTGGCTCCTGATGCCGGGGAAACCTGTCCCCTCCCCTCCTAGCTTCTCTGGGATAAATCTTTTAAGCACCCCTGGGCCTGGCCAGCAGCTTTTGGACTTACTTGACTTTTGGGGCCAATGACTTTATATACAACCTTATCCCTCCGTCGACTGAAATTTAGCTTGAGGCTGCAATGTCACATTTTGCCAATAGGTGGTGCTGACTGACACACAAAAGCATTCCTGCTCAGAGGCTCTGAAGCCAGATTGCAGGAATCGTTAAAATCAGATTGCTGGAGAGGGCATGTTGATACAGCGCCACCACATTAGGGCCTGGGGACAAATGTGCCACCTACCACTACCATCACCACTCAAAAGAAGAGCGATTTCACTACCAAAAATATAGGAACACAAAAATCTCAGAATAGAGACAGTCCTTGAACTTAAATACATTTCATTTTAAGAAAAACTCAGTTGTGTGGTTCTTATTCTTATCATCTCACTTTAGACCAGTAAAGACTCAACCCCAGACCAGCACTGGCCCTTGATCGGCCTTTGGGAGCCCCTGCTGTAGCCAAGGACACTGGGAGTTGGAGGTTACTCCGTTCTCCAAGTTCAAAGTTCTATAAAAATTAGTTTGTTTAGAATTAAGAACACCTTTGTGTTTCCAATGTGAAGTGAGACACCTCTGCGAAATCTTTCCTCCTCTTAAGGTTGTGACAGCAACTTTTCAGCCGAGCTGTGTTCCTTAAAAACACAGATCAGACCACTGCATTCCTTGCCTATTCCCTTCTGCTGTCTCCCTTTGTATACAAGGTCAAGAGAACTCCGGGTTTCACACCAGCAGCTTCATGATCCAGGCCTGCCTTGCTTGCCAGGATCACACAAAAGCCACCTCCAACCTTCCCCCTAAACAGAAGAGGCTCCAGCCTTACCACACCTCAGAGCTTAGGTGCCTCCATCTGCTGTGCTTGCACGCCCCCTCATTGCCCCCACACCTTCCTGACATACACCTATTCTTCCCACCAAGTCAGCACAACGTCACCTCCTCTGGGGAGCCACCACCTCTGCTCCCAAGGCACCTGGCGCATAATGATCTTGGAGCATCTGTCTTCTTGCTAAAATGGCACAGTCCTCTGGGGCACACACTGTTCAGCTTCTATCCCGCCTCCAGTACTTGACTCAGGGAGGGGACCCAATGAATCCTCAGTGATTGATTCTTCTTGTTGGCAAAAAACCCTGGCTCAGCTTTTCCAACATCCCTCCCTTAGATCTTTTCAATAAACTCAGGAGATGCTGACAGAAGCTGGCAGGCTGGTCAGAAGTGAGAAAAACAGCAGGAAACCCTAGGACATAGGGACCTGTGTGTCTGGCAAGAAAAGCACATTGGGTTTCCTGATTCCCTGAGGAGGCCCCGAATGCTTTGGTGTTTGGCCTTGAAAAAATCTTTCTGAAATGTACTAGCTCTGCCATCATTTACCAAAAAACATTTTAAAAAATGGAGTCAAAAGCATCCATAGGAATGACTTTGTAGGAAAAGAGCAAATTGTTTCCCCAAAAAAATAAAAATAAAATTAAGGGAAAATAAGACAATTGGACACACAAGGTTGTGGTGGGTATATATTGTTAAGCTATTGATCAGAAGACACAGGCCGGAACATGAAGAAATAATGATTACAGCTTATTGGATACTTACGGCCCATGTACTAAGCAAAATGTTTGACCTACGTGACCTCATTTAATCCTTACAACCTCACAATAATACAACAGGAATGACTCTCCCCCCAGCTTAGAGGCTCGGAAAGGTTAAGTAACTTTTCCCAAGATCATAGAGATGAAAATGGAATCCAGGTCTAACATTAAGACCCAAAGTTTACTTAATATTAACTTTTATTCTTTTATATTATATTTGACTAAATATTGTTTTTTTCTATCTAGCATTAACTTTAGTTAGTTTAATTTCTATTGACATACAGCTGATATACAATATCATATTAGTTTCAGGGGTACAACATAGTAATTCACCAATTATACACATTATGAAAAGCTCACCAGATTTAGTTACATGTCTCCATACAACGTTATTACAATATTGACTATATTCCTTATGCTGTACTTTTCTTCCCTGGGATTTATTTTATGATTGAAAGTTTGTACGTTTTAATCCCCTTCACCAGTTTCACCCACTCACCCTGCCCCCTTCCCCTCTGGTAACCAACAGCTTGTTCTGTGTTTGTTTTGTTTGTTCATTTTTTAGATTCCACATGTAAGTGAAATCATATGGTATTTGTCTATCCATCTGGCTTATTTCACTTAGTATAATACCAAAAAAAAAAAAACTTTAGGTCCATCCATTGTCGCAAATGGCAGGATTTCATTCTTTTTTGTGTGAGAATAATATTCCATTTTGCATATGTACCACATTCTTTATCCACTCATCTGTCAGTGGACACTTAGGTTGCTTCCATACCTTGGCTACTACTGTAAAGAATGCTTCCATAAGCACAGGGCTGCATATATGTTTGAATTAGTGTTTTTGTTTTGAGTAAATACCCAAATGTGGAATTACTGGGTCATAAGATATTTCTAATTTTTTGAGGAACCTCCATACTGCTTTCCACAGTGGCTGCATCAATTGACATTTCCACTAATAGTGTAGGAGGTTTCCTTTTCTTCACATCTTCGCCAACACTTGCTTTATCTTGTCTTTTGGATAGTGGCCATTCTAGCTGGCGTTGAGGTGTTATCTCATTGTGGTTTTGACTTGCATTTCCCTGATTAGTGATGTGGAGCATCTTTTCATGTGCCTGTTGGCCATCTGTATGTCTTCTTTGGAAAAATGTCTATTCAGGTCCTCTGCCCGTTTTTTAATTCGATTGTTTCTTTGATGTTGCGTCATATATGAGTTCTTTATATTTTGGCTGTTAGCCCCATATCAGATACATAATTAGCAAATACAAATCCAACTCAATAGGTTGCCTTTTGTTGATGGTGTCCTTCGCTGTACAGAAGCTTTTTAGTTTGATGTAGTCCTACTTTTTATTTTTGCTTTTGTTTTCCTGGCCTGGGGAGACATATTCAGAGAAAAATGCCTGATGTCCAAGAGATTATTGCCTATGTTTTCTTTTAGGAGTTGTATGGTTTCATATCTTACATTTACATCTTTAATCCATTTCATTTTTGTTTGGTGTGAGAAAGTGTTCTGGTTTCATCCTATTATATATAGCTGTCCTGTTTTCCCAATAGTTTGTTATTTGACTACATTTTTCAAATTGCAGTTAAATACAATTTCTGCCTTAGTACACAGGGTATGCAGAACATGGTTGGGTCTGAAGGTTCCAGACCTCCCAGGCCTCATGGCCCCAGTACACAGGCCAGCCTGGAGCCATACACTAAGGATACTGGACCAGGCCCATCCTGAATGGCTTTTGCTTTGTATTTAATAAACCCAAGCCATCAGCTTACTCTCTTTTATGATTTAGCTCTTTTCGTAAAGTCCAGTAAATGATACAACTCAAAGGGCTAATTTCTTGGATCCAGTCATTTCCTAAAAACCAGTAAGAAACAGATTAATAATCTAGTATTCTTAATGAGCCAAGGATATTCATAGGTAGCTCACAGAAAAGAAAATGTGAATGGTCCAACTTATTTTTTATGTTTATTCATTCATTAGAGAAATGCAAATTAAAACTATAAGGACACCATTTTCCACCTGTTAGAACAGAAAAAATCAGAAAGCTTCATAACACATGGAAAGTCCCTACACACTGGTGGCTGTGACAACTGAATAACCTCCTCACTGGAGAGCAACTCACCAAGGTCCATCATTTTTCACACACTCTTTCACTCAGGAGCCCCACTTTTGGGAACCTATCTTTAAGCTGACTTGCAAATGAAAAAACAACCCACATACACCATTTATTGCAGTAATGGTTGTAATTTGCAAAGGATTGGGAACAACCAAAATACCCCATCATCCAGAGGGATCTGGTTAAATAAGATCATGGCACATCCATATATCCATGAATAAGCCAACCTAAACAAGAACACAGAAGCTCTGCAGAATGGCTGGAACCCTTCAAAATACTGTTAAGTAAAAAAAATGAGAAAAACACACAAGAAACTGAAGATAAAGGCAGCCTCTGGGGAGGGGAGGCGGGCTGCTAGGATGGGAGACTTCACTGTACACCCTTTAGTACCTTTTGAATTTTGAACCTTGTGAAATGTTATTCAAAAAAACAAAACTAAAATACCTATACACTTTGAAGCCTTCCTTGTTACTAGCTCTGGCTTAGCTCCAGCTAAGTGAGTTACTGTACTCTCTCCTGCAGTATATCCTGCCTTCTGGACTCTAGAGCAAAACTACGGGGACTGCAGTAACTAGTCAGGTGGGGGCTCTGCCCTCTGCCAGCCCTGGACCCGGGAGGGAAATTCCTAAGGGTCACCCAGGCCTGCACTTTCTCACTCTGTCCACAGGTGGCGCTATGAGGCCTGCTGCCCTGCAGGTGGCAGTGGCTTGGGCAGCGGGGGGGCCTCAGGTTGCTGACCAAGAGGCAAAGAAATAGGCTGGCACAGATTAAGTAACATAAAATAGAAACTAACTTTATTTCTCTGGAAGCAGGTATCCATAGCTGGGGCAGCAACTTTGGTGACAAAGGCTGGTGGGAAAACACGGACAGCACAGGGGAGGAGCTAGGTCAGAGTGTCCCTCCCGGCCAGCTGCCCCCTTGGTCTCCTTCTAACCCAGGGGCTTTGGGCTCTGGTCCCTACCAGAAAACAATCTGGCACCCTTGCTCTGCTTACTGAGCACCTCAGGCTATTTCCAGACACAAGGTCCTACAACCAGCCAAGTCCCATAATATGTCCATGACGAGGTGACAAGTCACATTCTGTCTGAAACCCCAACTGCCCACCAGGGGCTCCCTGGAAAAGGGCTCAGCCCTGAGAAGGGCCCGCTGGGTGCTGGTACACCTTTCTGTGTGGCCAACACATCCTCCCTGCCCAGGTCAAGCCCACTTTTTCCCCACTGGCAGGGCCTGGGGACACACTCCAGACACAGGCCCAGCCAGGGACTAGGGCCAGAGGCAGGTCAGCTGCCAAGGCCACCCGCAGGCCTGCCTTCCTGGGGCTCCTTCCCCCACTTGGCTGGGGGCACTGAGGGCTGAACTGACATCGCAGGGACGGCACTGGGGGAGGGAGGGACAGGCAACGCAGGGCTCCAAGCCTCCTGCTGCCTTGGCTTCACTGTGCCACTAGAAGCAGTGGAGGAAGCAGGTCCTCCAGGCCTGAGCAGGGCATCTCCCACCCTTGTCAGATGGACAGGCTCAAAGTGATTCCTTCAGGGCAGACCCTCTGGCTCTCCAGACATCTCAGCGCCTAAAGGACGGGAAAAAAGCAGAAAGTCCTTCTATCAACAGGGGCCAGTGCAACAGAGTATGGGATGTCCAGTGTGAGTGGGCACGAGAGGTGCCAGGCAAATCAGCTGAAAACTGGTAGTTCAAGGCAATAATTTTGGAACTTATCATGGGATGGCTTTTTTTCTTTACGTGAATAAAAAAATAAGACAACAGAAGTATTGTGTATCAGAGTACTAGAGAGTGAGCAGTAGAGTAAAGCCTAAGTTTATCTGGATGCATACTGGTAAGAACAGCCACGAGGTCATAACTAACACGGAGCAATGGAGTCTCAGGTGCCAGACACTCAGTGTGGGCTGACAGATGCATCCCTCATTAATTCTTCTCCTCACTCCATGAAGTTGCACAATACTACACACATTTTACAGGAGGGACCCTGAGGGATCAGGAAACGTGCCTAAGCTGATGCTGTGCATGAACAGAGGCCAGGCTCTACTGTATTTACACCATACAGCACTGTATATTACTTACATACATATGTTTTGTTACATGAATTTTTTACAGGAAAATAATGGTATTTTCTGGTTAAATGTTCCCGTAAAAAAAAGCATTAAAACTTTGTTACTTTAACCTGAAATATGAAATGAAGAGGTGAAAAATACTCATTTTAACCACTGGCCCTAAACTGCTGCTCCCTGGAGCGGGCTCAGGGGCCCCTGCGAGGGCCTAGGGAAGCATGCCCCCTGCAGCCATGGAGGCGCCAATTCCCTTTCACTCAGTTCACTTGAACCAGGCGGCTGAAGAGTCTAAAAAGCACACTTAGGAAAAACGGTTTTCACTCAGAATTGTCTGTGTCCTGGGATCAGGGCTGCTGGGTTTTTCCCTAGAGTGGCGTGCTCTGGGACACCCCTCCGGGGACAGGAAGGTGGCAGGGTGTGGGCCTCACTCACTTGTGGTGGGTGGGGCCGCAGGAGCCCAGGAGGTGGCAGCCAGCTTGCTCCAGGTTCCAGTCAAACATCTCCAGCACTTTGTGGCACTCGCTTCGTGGCCGCAGACCCAACCCAAAGAGCTGCTCTACCTGAGGAGCAGAGGGTGGTATCATGGGACACACCGGGTCCGAGAGGCACCAACGGGGTGGGGACACAGGAGAGCCAGAGCCGGGGTGGGCTGGGGGGAGAGCAGCAGAACCAGTCTTCAGGGTCCCTGAAAACCAGAGCAGGCAGGAGGTGTGGTACCTTCAGATACTGGGCAGCCCTCTGCATGCTCCAGCTGTGGCTCTGCAGGGCCGCCTGGCACTCCTCTGTGGTCACCCCATGCACCATAGCCTGCAGCTGGGCAAACCCACCCACCCATCAGCACCACTTGGGCCCTTGGGCCTTTGCCCCTCCTTGCCCAGCAGCCAGGCCTGGGGCTCACCATCTGGATCTTGTCTGCTGGCCGCACAGCCTCTGGCCCGTCCCCAGGGCAGCCCCTCTGTGGCAGCCGAGCAGTGGCCCTCAGGGCTGGTGGCTGGGCCCCTGGGTTGCTGTTTGTGAAGTTGGCCTTGGGGTCAGGGGAAGCCTGGGGCATCGGCCGAACAGTGGCTGTAGGGGCAGCAGGGGCTGGGGTGCTGGGTGGGGGCAGCAGCAGGGGCCCGGGTGGGGGGGCAGGCTCCTCGGGGCTCTGGGTCTCACGCAGGAAGCGCTGGTAGCGCTCCAGGTAGGACGGGCGCTCAGGCAGCAGGTAGTAGTGGGTGCTGCTGACCTTCTTCCCATCACGGACAATGGGCAGGATACAGGGGCTGGGCCGGGGGCCAGGAGCCTGGATCACCTGGGGTGTGGCATACTTGGGGTCTGAGGCAAAGCTCTGGGTGGTGGGCATGGTCTTCCCAGGTGAGCTTGAGAGCCGGAGTGACAGTGGGGAGCTGCTCAGTGGCACCAAAGGGCTGGGGGTCCTCGAGCCTTGAGGGGACAGGGGTTCCCTGGGGGGCACCTGCGGAGGGGAGGCAGGTCCAGGCCATCGCCCCACCTCCTCCTCAGCTGAGGGGGCTGGAGACAGCTCTCCCCGAGGGCGTGTGGGCCTCGGGGGAATGGGTACCCGAGGGGGCACCTGGGGCTTGTCATCACCCAGCGGGCTGGGTGGGGGGCCCAGTGAGCCAGCTGGGGCATGCAGCTGCCGCATGCACTCCTGCTGCAGCGCCTGGAAGATCTCGGCAGTCTGGGCAGAAGTGGGCGTCTTGCTCGCACCCTGGGGCCGGAGGAACAAGTTGTCCTCTAGTGCAGGGAGAAGCTGTGCCTGCTCAGGCACAAAGGCGTAATTGGTCTCGCCCTGGCTGGGCCCAGCAGAGACTCCTGCACCCACCAGGGTGCTGTTGATGGAGCAGACCTCAAAGTCATCCTCATCCTGGGCCACATCATCGTAGGAGGGAGGTGGGGGCAGCGGGCGTGCATCCCAGTCCACCACAGGCGTGGGGTGGAGAGGCCGGGGCAGTGCCCGTGTGGGGCTCTGCGGCGGGGTCTTGTCCAGCAAGGAGCAGGCGTCCATGGCCAGCTGCGCCAGGGAGGGTGCACAGGGCCGTGGAGCCGGAACCACGAGCTCCTCACCGAAGTCGATGAGCGTGACCTCGCCCCCGCCCCCACGGCCTGCCTTGGTGCCTGGCACCCGAGCTGAGGGCTTCGCGAGCCACAGCCCGCGGGGCAGGCCTGGCTTCCGGAGGCCCAGCCTCTTGAAGTCACTGGACAGAGGGTCTTGGTCCTCACTCACAGGATCATAGGTTGGTTCTGCAGTGGAAGGGGAGACCCCACAAGGGAGACAGTGTCACATAGGGGATGGGCAGGTGGGGTGTGGGGAAGACAGCCAAGTATCCCTACCAACTCCCCACTCCCAATTCCCCCAGAGGTCAGCCCTCAGCTGCCAAAATACCCTATTCAAACAGGAAGGCAGAACCTGCTTGGGGGCTGTGAGCCTCTACATGGGCTGTGAGCCCCTGCTTCCATCTCAGCCGGAGCAAGCAGTACCCATACCCACCTGCCTGATGCCCCCTCCACCAACACAAAACCCCAAATACCCTTGCTCCTGGGCCCTGGTTCATAACCCCTAATCCCCACCCCATGACAGCATGCCATTAGTGCAGACACGGAGCTGCGGGCAATCCCTACAGCCCAAGGGAACAGGAGCTATCCTTGGAGAGGCCAGAGCTGCTGATCAACTGCCATGAAAGCCTAGCCACAGCCTCTGCAGGTCCCAAAGGGAGTGAGACTGGGCCAGGCAGTGGCGGAGAGGAGCAGAGGCGGCCACCAGGGCCACACACCTGACCCCGAAGCCCGGGCTGGGGGAAAGGCAGGCATGCTGGGCCAGGTTAGCAGCAAAAGCTCACAGCACACCCCCACTTTCCCCCCCATCCAGCCCACCAGGGCTCTGTACCTTCCAGGAGGAGAGGGATGCGAGGAGAGAGGGGGCAGGGGCCAAGGCATCCAGAGCAGCCCCACTTACTCTGAGCGAAGAAGGCAGGCTGAGGTGGGCGAGGTGGAGGCTCCCCTGCAGGAAAGGCCATGCGGAGAGGAGAGGGGGCAGAGCAGGAGAGACGGGGCAAAAGGCAGAGACAGAGCCGGACAGGAGCATGGAGAGAAAAAGAGAGAGAGAGAGAGAGAGAGCAGTGAATAGAAGCGAGTGAGCGCACGCACCCCGCAGCAAGAGGAAGCAATGGACGGCAGGATGGGGAAAACTGTGTTCCGGAACAACAGGCACGGGATCCAGGAGATGGATGAGGCTCCTGGCCAGGATGAAGCCCGTGGGGTGGTTTTGGCTCAGGAAAGGAGAGCGGGATCAGGGGAATGAGGAAGGCCAGGATCTGAGTTTGTGGGATGGAGGAGGGAGGGGGGAAGCTGAGGCGAGCAGGCCAACGCAGGGCCAACCGAGGACGCCCACCTCAGCGGATACAGCTGCCTCTTGTCTTCCACCCCACCCCCAGCCCAAGCCAGGGACACAGCTGTGTCCCTGCAGCCCTGACCCACCCATCCCACAGCCAGAAGGGCCGGCTCAGGGTGGCCTTCCTGGGCAGCTGATTCACTAGGGGGCGCTCCGAAGCTGGGCTCTTACTTTTTACCCTTCCCAGATGCTGGGCGGGTTGGGAGATGCTCAGTTCCACACTTATAAGGTCAGGAGGGTCCATTGGGTTTCCCAGATAGAGTCTGTTGGGAGAGAACCAGGTCAGAGGGGAGGTGGGAAAGGGTGTGGAGAGGTGGCAGTGAGAAAGCTGCTGGAGGAGCAGTTAGGCTTGCCACCTGGGGTCAGGCAGAAAACAGAGCTATGAATGTGTCCAGGGGACCATCTCGTCCAGGCCCCTTTGCACACGGGTTTGAAGCACTGGACTTCGGACTCCCAGAAGCTCCCTTCTGTAGATCTAAGCCATAGCCACGGGAGGGTAACATGGAGAGAGCACAGAGAATCAGCGCCTGATCACACGCTGGGAAGCAAAGGCTGCATGGGCTCCAAGAACACCTGCCAGGGCAGAGCTGGCCCCCTGTCATCCCCACGGCACCCAAGCCATGCCTGCCAGCCCCCTACTGGCACATTCTCTTCTCTCCTGCCAGGCCCAGAGACATCTGGGCCTCACATCCAGGTCAGGGCGGGCAGGAGCATCCTTCTGCCCCACTGCAAGGGTGAGGGGGGCAGGGACTGGGCCTGGCTCCAGGGACCTGGGACTAAATCACAGGGGCTGATTAAAACCAGGAGGAATGGGGCTGGGCAAAGGGTGCTGGGCCCCCCCAACTGAAAGCCACCCCAAACTCTCTGAGGGCCCCAGCTGGCTCTGGTGAAGCAAGAGGTATAAGGCAGTGGCCCCCCTGGAACTTAGTGTTCTTGGCGGGGCTGGGGAAGGGGGAGGGGAGGCCTGCTTCACCAATCACCTTAGGGTGTCAGGAGGTCCGAGGAGAAACGGCTGCTGAGAGTGGCCTGGCAGCCCTGGGGCCAGCAGAGGCACAGAGGCCTGGGCTGAGGAGTTGCCAGGTGACTCCCAGGGGCGGGGCACCCAGGAAGTGACTAATTCTCCTGTGTCCTCCCCAGATGCCCCCCAATGACCTCATGCTTCCCCTTAAAGGAGACAAAACTGCCCTCACAGGTACCCTGTGAGCTGCTGCACCGCCTCTCCCTACAGCCCCCCACCAGGCAGCTCCTACTGTACTCCCCTCTGGGAGCACCAGCTCACCCCACCCTGAGCCTGGGGGCCTGGTACTGCCAGCAGGGGACAAGGACACAAATGCGAGGCACACGAAAGGAGCCACATGCTGATCTGCTTGCAAGGCTGTTCCCAAGTTCTTTTTCCAGAGGCCAGTGTGCCCAGGGGTCTTTCCACCAAACAGAGGTATGGGTCCATCCTCTGAAGCTCTTAACCCCAGTTTTGCCTACAGGGAAAAGCTGCTGGGTAATGAGAGGCCCACTGCTCCACAGCTAGGAGGTCCTTGGAAGCCAGCAGGGTCTGTGTGCCCAGGGAAGGACTGGAGGCCTGGCCACAGGTGGGCCCTGCCTGGTACTCACTCGTCAATCTTGTCGGGGAAGCCCCAGCAGTGGCGGGGGTCACTGTCGCCATGCCCTGTGTGGATGAAGCTATTCTGCAGAGGCTGGCTGATATCCTGGGCCGACAGGCCGGCCACGGAGGTCACCACGTTGCGAGGGAAAGGCCCCACACACAGCGTCCGTGTGTTCTGCCCACGCCACCAGTAATTCTCAGCTCTGCCAACAGAGATGACATGGTGAACACCAGGGTGTGGTGGACAGCCCCAGGGAGTGGGACCCTTTGATACCACGCTCTCTCCAGCCACATCTGACCACCTTGGCATGAGAGCTACAGCCCCAGGACTAGGGTGGTCTACCATCAGCCACCTCCTCCCAGCAGCACCCCTGACCTGCCACACCCCCAGTAAAGGGCCTGGTTATTTGCACACAGCCTTACACTAAGCTACCTAGGTGGGTCAGACAGCTTTTCCTATAGTTTACAAATAAGAAAACAGGTTCAAACAAGTGACATGACTTGCCTACAGTTACCAGAAAGATCACAGCAGACGCAGGATTCAAGTCTAGTTGTTAGTCTGCAAAGCCAGTACCTTCTCACAATGCCATACCACCTCCCTCCTACCCTGGCAAGGCCTGGGCCCCATCCACTACTGGCCACTGCTTTCACTCTTCAGCCTAGTTCCAGACATCCCGAGCTGCCAGGGCCCAAGGGAGCATGGGGCCTTAGCTCGGGGCCAAGCCCTGAAGCCACACGCCTCCTGCACGCAGCCCTTCACATGTCTCGGGGTGCCACACCTTCATGTCCCTCCCTCCAGGGCCTTCCGCCACCTCCAGGAGGGGCTGTAGGGTTCTTGCCCTCACCCCTATCTATCTCCTCAAGAGCTCTTCTCTTGTCTTAAACGGGTCCAGAAGGGAACCCAGCCTTCCAGCATGGCTGGACTGTGGAACCCCCAGCCCCTCACTCTGATCACAAATACAAAATCTCTGTTGACACAGCCATGCCCAGGCACAGCCTGGGGTGAGGTGGGGACAGGCAGGTGCCCTTCTGGACACTCGGAACACTGGAAAGCCTCAGCAGGCCACAAGCTCCTGCATCTGCCCTGGGATCATGCACACCCAACGATGTGGACAGAATCTGGGCAAAGGCAGAGGTGGTGACAGCCTCATGCTCTCTTAGTGGACACATGGGGCACCAGGCTGCATATGCCCTGTCAATCCCCGTCCGTATGTCACCTGTCCACAACCAAAAGCTTATAGAAAGGCGGTCTCCACACTGCAGTTGGGCCGGAGGTGGGGAGACTGGCGGTGGGAAGGTGGAGATGCCTGAGCACCTGGACCCCACTCCCTGAGATGATGCTGCCCACTGGGGCAGTATGACCCCCAAAAAGCCTGTTCCCAAGACCAAAAGTCCAGGCCCACAAGCACAGTTCTTGGGAAGCCAGGAGGTAAGACAGGGGAGGGGCAGGAGCCCAGTCTCCTGGCAAACAAGGCAGTGGCCAGCCTACCAGCAGACACAGCAAGCCTGTGATCGCCACCCTGCCCTCCCCATGGGAAGGGCAGGAAAGGAAGGAAGAAGGGAGGACAACACCCAGGAAAGGACAAGGCCCATCCCCAAAGAGCAAGGCCATTCCAAGGAGACAAACACGCCCCTGACCACTTCCTGCCCAGGGCTGTGAAGCAGGGTGGGGAGGAACACCTGGCGCCAGGGGACCACCCTGCTGCTGTCCCGCATGCTCCCTGGGCTCCGTGTGCCCCTCTACATCACTGTCTCAGACGTCAACCCCAGGGCTGGACACTGGACTCCACTCCCCACCGCCCTTCAGAGGTGCTCGTGAGCTTGCTGAAAAACACAGCTGCAGTGGAGATGTGGGTCAGAGTACAGCAGACTCTCGCTCAAGGCCAGGAGTTTCCTGGGACTGCGTACTCCCTATGCAGGCCCTGAGCAGGGCCAGGCTGGCAGGAGGTCACTCCCCCACCGCCCTCTTTTGCCAACACAGCCCAGCTCCTCACACAGAAGCCTCCTTTGGACCCACTTCCAACAGTGAAGGACAATGTCAAGCCCACCTCCATTTATTACAGGTATGGCGGAGCAGGAACCCCCTCAACTGCTGGGAGTCCTGACCCCACTTCTCAAAACCATCTTGCTAGTAGGGCAGGGAGAGTGGGGTGGGGAGTGTGTGCAAGGGAGGCACCCGAGGTGCCCTTGGGAACAGCATCCCGAGCGCCTGAGGGAGCAGAATCCCTCCCCAGGCCCATACGGGGTCCCGAGGCGGCCAGCACTGCGCGGTGCTGCTCCCCCTGCCCCCTGGGCCTTGCTGGGGCCAAGGTGCCAGCAGCCCAGAGTGGACTGAGGTGAGCCGTGCCCACCCAGCCCGTGCCGGCCACACCCTCATCCCCCTCCATGAACAGGCCAGAGTCTCCAAGTAAGGGGCCACCGGCAGTCACTGCAGCAAAGACAGGCAGACAGACAGACAGACAGGCAGTCCTTGGGAGTGAGAACAGGGCCCAGCACCTCTAGCACCGGCCTCCTGTTTCCTGCTGCCTGTCAGCGTCCTGGACAGCAGGATGTGAGGCAGCCCCCATAAACGCAGGCCTGGGCTGTGAGCTGCCTAAGGCTGCCCTCTCCCCACGGGACCAGACCCCAGAAGCCTCAGCCCCATTCTAGTCCTGGCCTAAGTCAGTCGAGAAATGGCTGACAAGTGTTGCTTAAACATTCAGCTCAAAACACCAACCCACCCACTTTTCTCAGGTTTCCCAGGCAGCCCCCGGCCTCAGGGGACAGCCCAGACCCTTGCTTCCCCCTCCCCAACCTACCACCGGAAGCAGAGGCTCCAGAGACCAGGCCAGGCCAGGCCAAGGATTCTCAGACAGGTTTCAAGACCTCTGTCCCCTCTTTCTAGTTCTGTAAGAACCTAACATGAAAGTGCTAACACACCAGCCATCCCAGCCTCCATCTAATGCCGGTTGCTCTTTGTCCCCCAGTCTAGACAGAGCTTCCCAAGCTCGGTGCACAGAGAGCTCAGGGGTCCTCCCTCCGCCCACTGCTAGGGCCCGAGAAGCACTGAGCCTGCAGAACCAGTCAGAGCTACGGGCAAGGGAACTCCTGAACAAACACTGGGGACAGCTTCAGGGGGCAGCAATCCAAGGCTGACAGAACGGGAGGTTCAGAGAGCTGAGAACCGGCCTACGAGGGGCGGGAGGAAGACAGAAGCCCACGGGGCAGAGAGCCCACCCCCCGGAGACATGGAGACAGAGTCGGCCAGACACACACCGGGACATCTGGGCACCCAGAAAACAAGGGGCAGAGTTACAGCCCTGGTACCACTGACACACAGGCCCCATACCGAAGCCTCACCGGCTGTCGTGCCTCCTGTCCCTCACCTCCCACCTCCTGGGCAGCTCCAGGGACCAGGGGCTGGCACTGCGGTCCAAGCCGGGCCTGTGGCCCCGGAGGAGGAGCTCGGCGAGCCCACACTGGCAGGCAGCAGTGGAGCCAGCAGCTGGGCCCAACTGGAGACTGGGACACAGGGGCAGGCAGGGCATGCCCACGGCGGCCTCCCAAAAGGAGTGGCTCCCCTGGCCCCGCCTGCCGCCTGCCTGGCTCTGGGGTGACCAGGGTGTCAGCTCCAGAGACTTACACCCCAGAGACACATGAAGCAACCGAGTCGCCCCTGGGAATATGGAGCCCGCCCTGAGAGCAAGGGACGAGGAAGGTAGAGCCCCAGGGGTCACAGGGCACTGGAGGGGTCAGATTAAAGGAATTCTGGCTCCTGATGGTGGGAATGGCTGCAGGCCCGGAATTCTGACTTGAGTCCCTTCCATGGACCTCAGAGGGGCCCTCATCTAATCTTCCTATTCCCAGAAGGCTCCCCAGAGAGCCATGCCTACATCCCTTCCCTGGCCCCTCAGCTCCAAATCCCCAGACTCTTCCTTCCTGTCCCCCAGGACGGTCCCCTTCTAGAAGCTTCCTGCTTGTATCCACCACTGATTCCCCAACCCCCAACTCGGAAAGCTTGCTGGTATGTCGTTCTTATTCCCAGATACTGGGTTTCCAGGCTCCAGGGGCCCTGGCCTGGGGAAGTGGTGCCAGGCCACATCAGAGCAGGCATGTCCCCCACAGCGAGCCTGGGCTCCCGGGCTCGCCCCAGCACTCAGCCTCAGCCCACAGGCCCTCCCCTCTCACCACTCTCCACAAGGCACGGCTCTTAAGCTAAGGCCCAGGCCTCCAAACCTGAAGTACAGGTAGGAAGGGCTCAGAGGCGCGCAGCCCCACATTCATCCCTGCCTGGTTCAGCATCAGAGCTGGGAATGCAGGGAGTTTCCTCTGCCCAGCTACTCTTCCCTCCCTCCCTACCTCAAGCCTGCTGCCCCAACCAGTTCCTCAGCCACCCCAGGGATCAGATAACAGAGGGCGGGGGCTGCAGGTGGGAGCAGCGAGCTGACAGGAGATGCTGCCCTAGGCTGAGGCATGAGTTGCCAGGCATGAGGGGGAGAGGAAGGGACCAAGAATGGAGGGCCCTGAGAGGGGAGACTAGGGATAAAGGGGCCAGGTGGGAGGCGAGGCATGATGGAGGGGGGCCCAGGAGGGCGCAGTGGGCCCAGAGGGAGGCAGAGGCTGCTGGGAAGGGGGTAGGTCTGCTCTGGAGTACTGGGCGGCACCGGTGGGTAGCCCTCCTGGGCGGGGGTGGGAAGGGAAGACTGGAGGAGAGATGTTCAGAAGTCCCCACCTGTGGCCCTGAGGCTGGGCTGACCCACCTCCTATGCCTGGCCAGAATGGCATTTTGGCTCTGATCCACACAGCCAGGGCAGGAGCTGACTGGGAAAGGGTGACCTGGCAGCGGAGGCAAGGAAATCTGCGCATCAGCATCCAGCACTGACCCCACGCACTCAGGAGCGGACCCAGGCCTGACCTCCCTTCTCGCTGCGGGGTTCAGGCCTCCGCCTTCCACAGCTGGTGCACCCCCAGGAGACCCTGGAGCTCTCTGCAGGAGGCCCCTCACCCTGGGCCCTTCGAGGCAGTGCAGGTGCAGCCCTGGGCTCCCTACCTCCCCTCGATGACAGTGATGACATCATTCATCTGGATGTGCAGCTTGTCTGGTTCCTCAAAGTCCTGAAGGGCGCGCATGTCAGTGGGCTGGGCCTGGGGACAGAGACAGGTCACTGCCTACCCGGGGAATGAATCCTGCTTGCGTACGCAGGCTCCCATGGATGGACCTGCCCTCACCTCCAGCAGGAAATCCCTCAGGGCCACAAAGGTGGGTCTGTCTTCTGGCTTATGAGCCCAGCACTGAACCATGACATTGTAGATGTCCTGAGGGCAGTCTTCTGGCCGCGGGAGACGTTCCCCCTCTTTGTCAATCTTATGCAGGATCTAGCAGTGGAGAGGTATAGTTTGAAGACAAGGAGAGCGCCCAGTTGCCCCCTTCCCACCTTCCCTCCAGACCATGGAACAACTGGACATGCAGGCTGCCATGCTAGCACCCCAAAGAAGAGATCTGCCTCTGGGGACCTCTGGTCATGTGGCCATGGCAAAGAGCAAGAATATGAATAAGACCCAGCCTGTCCCTTTCCTGACCACTGGGGCCCCTCTCAGGGCTCAGCCATCTGAGAGGTCATGCAGATGTGGAGTGCAAGGCAAAGGGATTCCAGCAGGTGCGTGCCAGTTCTGGTGCCAGGGACCAGGCTGGGCACCAGGGATCCAATTGACACCACCCACCATTTGGGAAGCACACGCCCAGCCCCTCACCTGGCTGCCATTGAGGCCAATCCAGGGCTCCTGACCATACGTGAACATCTCCCACAGCGTCACCCCAAACATCCAGGTGTCGCTAGCATGGGAGAAGGTGCGCGTCTTCAGGCTCTCAGGGGCACACCTGGCAGAGACAGGAGTAAGCAGAAGGCCTCTCAGTGCCCGCGTTCACATCAGCCCAGTGGACATAAAGAACTCATTCAACAAGCGAGCTGTTGCCCTGTGTGCCAGGCTCGATGTAGGTGCTGGGATCATGGTACAAAGTGGAACAGGGGCACGGCTTCTGGACTACGGTACCCAACTTGGAGGAAATCATCTGTGCTCAGGTCTTCTGTTCACACGCAGCCTGAGGCAAAAAAGGATGAAGCTCGCAGGTCAGGGAAGCAAGGAGGGAAGGAAGGTCAGAGGCTCCAGGAAGGGACTGGGGAGTAGAGCTCAGACTGTTCTCTAACTGTGGTGGGAGGCTGACAATTTCCAGATTTCAGGCAGCATCCTGGGACTTGGGCTATTTCAGCAGGAAGGTGTGGGTGGGAAATCTGGATAGGGCCTGGGGAAGAACCAAAACGGTGGAAACAGTCACAGTGGCTCCACCCAAATATCCCCACACTCCCTCTAGGACTCTGTCTTGGGTGAGGAAGAGAAATGCCACTGCCATTGCTAGCAGAAGCTAGCGGGGGTATTCCAGGACCGAAGTGCAGCAAGGAGGACTGCAACCTGGATGGAGAATCAGAGGCTCGCTCTCTCTGGAGAGCTGTCCCTGCCCCCGAAAAGGGTGGGACCCAGGGAAAGTCATTCAAGATCTCTAAGTTTCATGTCTCTCATGCACAAAACAGGAGGAACAGTAACTGCTCACCTCACGGTGCTGTTTTAAGGTGTCTACATAAAAGGTGACCTTATAATTTACCATCCAAACAGGATGCTTGAGTATAAAAGGGGAGGTACTATTAATTACTCCAGGACAACAGACATAACCCAGCATGTATGGTCACTCTAGGTATAAAATCAGTGATTAATTAGGGGGACTCTACATCCTAGACTAGAAGGGTTTCTGGCAAGCAGAACGGGACCGACTCCTTCCACCCAAAAGCAAGACAACCACCTGCTTTGGGTGCCTCCAGCACCAGAGGACCACGATTGTCTCAGCAAAGGATAAGCTCAGAGAGGCTGGAACAGGGCCAGACCCACTCAGGGTGCAGGTGAACATCCCTGGCCACAGTCTACAAGGTGCAACATCATCTGGCCCTGCCTGCTGCTGGCTCTACCTGGAACATGCTTACCAACCACTCTGCCTGGCTAAGTTCTGATATTTCAGGAGCTTGATACTGAGTCCCCCCAGGAAGCCTTTATGAGTCCCCACAGGGGTTATGTACTTATCCCTATACCTTCCAGTACCTGACACATGGGTCCTGGAGAATTCCTGGATGGATGAGTGAAACGATGGGCACATAACAAGGGCACCCCAGGACGGGAAGAGATGAGGGCTACTGTAGATACAGAAGGCCTGGAAGCTCTGGGGCCCAGGTGTGCAGGGACAAGGGTGGGGCAGGGTGGGGTCCAGGCCCTATGAGCCAAAAGCAGCTGCCCCTCACCAGGCAAAGGGCACCTTGCGATGCTCCTGCATGACATAGTGATCATCATTCTGGGGCAGTGCCCGCATCAGCCCGAAGTCCCCAATCTTCACCAGGTCGCGGGTGGCCAATAGCAGATTTCGGGCAGCCAGGTCACGGTGAATAAAGCGCTTGGACTCCAGGTAGCCCATCCCCTCAGCTACCTGCACGGCATAGCGGCTCAGAGTGCCCAGGAGGAAGTGGCCCTGATGCTTGCGCAGCCGGTCCAACAGCGATCCCAGAAGCGCCAGCTCTGTCACCTGGGGCCGCAGAGGAGGCGGGAGGAACAAGCCTCGCTGAGCTCTGCCCCTCGCTCAGCACCCATGCTGGGCTCTCAGCACCTCTTCAAAGGCCTCCCCCAGCCATGCTCGCTGCTCCTTCCTGGCCTGTCCTCCGGGAACCTCCAGGAGTCCTACAGCTCCCAAGCTCCTCCCTCCAGGCAATGTGGGAAACTGAGGGCCAGAGAGAAGCAACCTTAAGAGGCTCGGGTTAGAAATTCTAACAACTAAACTTTAGAGCTGCCCCTTCTGTGGATACAACTCTAGAGCTGCCCCTTCTGTGGATACAACTCTCTACAAATGAGCACAAGCAAAATCCAGAGATGGACACAGGATCCTTGGACGGAGAACCAGACTAGGCCCCTTTGCCATGTCAGCAGCGGGGCGAATCCAAAGCAGACTCTGGGAGACTTATGACCTCTGTCAGGATGGAGGGAGTAACCACACCAGTGGCAGGAAGAGGGGCAGACCTGGGGGCCCAGAGACCACAGGCTTCCCTAACCCGCCCCTCCTCCTGCCAGCGGCTCACCATCTTCATGGGCGGCGTGAGCACCACACCGTACAGGCGAATGAGGTTTCGGTGGTCAAGCGAATGCATGGCATTGACCTCCCGAATGAAGTCATCCATGGCCTCTGGCTGGCTTAGCACATCGGGCTTCAGGCACTTCACAGCCACATTCACCTGCCCAGAGAGGGAACTAGAAAGGTCAGGGCAGGCTCCCCAGCCCCCCAACACTCTGCACCCACCTGCTCCCTCCATCTCCCCTCAAACATTCCTACCTCAGCTCTGCTCATCTGCATGGTGAACACACAGGTGCCTGTGGCCTCGCTGGGGGAGGGCAGCTGGCTGACCCCCAGGGGCCATCAGGTGGGCCTCCCCTTCCTGGGAACAATGCCCAGGTTAAATAGCAACCATTAGGTAAGAGATGACCAGTATGATAATAGGATATTAAAATGTTAAACTGAAATACAATATTAAAATAGTTTTGGTATAGAAAGCCATTAAATAAAATGTTAAAGAAAAGGAACGTCATTAAGTAAAATGTTAAAAAACTAATCCATGATGACCAAAGACGGCATAGTGGCTTCCCTTGGAAGAAAAGGGTGTCCAGCGGAAAAGGCCTGGCGAGCCTTCTGTAGTGCTAGGAAGGCTCTCACTGTCATGGGAGCTCTATTACATGGTCCCACGTATATGCGAAATTCACTGACTGTACATTCAAGAACTACATGCTTTATTGTATATGTACTATCTATCCCCATGGGGTAAAAAATTTTAAATACAATACTAATACTGAAAGGGCAAGATTTAAACAGTTGTATCCAAAAGTTTACGTTAACTAAATTCAACAAAATACCTGAGCTGGAAGAAAGGCAGAAATGCTAACTCTGCTCCTCTGAGTAGACAGATTGCAAGCAATCATTTTTCTTATTTTTTAAACAGTTTCCAAACTTATATAGTAAATAAATGATTTATATAACTGGAAAAAGAAACCAGTGTGTCTAAACTTGAACATGAACTCCCAGGCAAGCCTCTTTGCAATGTCTCCAGCCCCATTCACATCCCAGCAAAGGGTACAAATCCACCTCAGAGGGTCTCTGCCAGAATCTCTTAGGGGCTTATCCCTCTGCCATGCCCCACAGGACCCAGAAAACTCACTGTCTTCCCCGAGGGGGCATCCCACTCGCCCCTGCGCACCACACCAAAGGAGCCATCTCCCAGCTTCTCGAAGAGATGCAGGTCCTTCTCCCCAATGAGGCAGGTGAGGCTCTGCAGAGGCCCCTCCCCTGGGCCCCCCGGCGTGGGCGAGGTCTTCCGGAAGGTGCTCTGAGAGTGATGAGGGGGAAACTCAGCCTCCAGTCGCTTTCCACTGAACACCTGTTTGAAGGCAGCCAAGGGCCAGATGGAACCCTGAGGCCCTGGGCCACTCACTCAGTTCTGCCCCCAGGGGTCCGGGCTAGGCTTCCAGAGAGGGCATACCTTTGCTGAACTGTCAGGGGGAAGCCTGGCTGGAGGCCCATGTCCCCTCCAGACCACACCCCAAAATGGAACCCACAGCATCACTGTGGCCTCAGGGTGTGCACCAGGAACATAGTGACAGGCATGTAGCCTGTGGCTGCTGTGGCTCCACACCCCAGCTGTGGGGTCAGGGACAGCCCACAGCCACTCCAGACCCACTCCGGCCCCACCCATCTCTCCCTGTACTCCCTACTCAGCAGAGACCCCAGCTCCTAACCCGAGCAGATGGGCAGGAGCCTGGAAGGCCCCCCACAAGCACCTAAGCACCTCCCTATCCATTTTTAGCCCTGGACCCTTCTCTGGCTGCCCATTTGGTGCTGTCTGTCTCCACCCTCCCAGAGTCGGCTGCCCTTCATCCTGCCAGCAGAGGATAATTTGAGCCTGAGGTCGGGCTGTGAGTGTGGGGGGTGCAGATGAAGCGCGGCCTTGCTGGGGAAGGGCCTGGGTAGACAGCTGGGCTTCTGGAGGGACGCCGAGAGCTGAGGGCTGAGAAAGAAGGAAGACTAAAGGGTACTTTGCAGTCTGGGCTGGGGAGGGAGGGACCAAAGGTCAGGGGACAGGAGGAAGGAGGCCCCACCACTCTGACGAGAACACCCCCACTAGGGCATCCAAAACCTTGACTTCAGGCTGCAGGCTCTGCCCAGTTGGGCCCCTGCACCCACAGGCTGGCGAAGCCTTATTTGTATGGGGTAGGGGGCATCTGCAATCTGAGGGCCTATTCTGCCTACTGCTTCCTTTCTCCCAGGAACCGGAGTCCCTTATGATTGCAAGCAGGGTTCAGCTGACAAGACCCTTCACAGCCTTTATCTCAAGGGACCCTCTCCACAGCCCTGAGGTGAACTGGCAAGGTGTGGCCAGTGCTATTTAACTGAAGACACACCTGAAGTCTGGAGAGGTTCACAGACTGGCCCCAAACTCCTGGTGTGGTAGATCCAAGACCCCTGAGTTCTGGCGTACCACACAGCTCTTCCCTGTCTTCATCTACCCCAGTACACTCATCCTGCCCCAAAACCTGGGCAGGGGCCAGGACAGTGTCCCCAGAAAAGGCCAGAGGATCCCAAGAGACAGCCCCTTTGCCAGACTGCAGCCAGCAAATCTCTGCTGCCCAATCCCAGTCCAGCTGTTCGGTCCACCCCCTCTCCCACCCCAGCCCTGAGGCCAGAAGTGGGGAGGGAAGGCCCTGGCTGGTTCACTTCCTCTCCCATTGTCTTCCAGACAATGGGCAAAGTTCCACTGAGTCAGACCAGGGACTCACCACTCCAAAGACCCAAATTAGGGCAAAGGGGAGAGGGGCAGACTGTGTGGAAGGAAGCTGTCAGCAAGGCAAGATAACCAGAGATACCTCAGCAGACTGGGGGGTGGGGGAGGAAGGCAAAGACATCCAGGGTCCAGCAGCCCCTCCCCCCAAACCCCCACCCCGGGGAACTGGCCCTGGTACTCAGACAGAGCAAGAGCTCGAGTTACAGTGCACTCGTCCGTGCCCAGCACCACAGCACAGCCATGGCTGCACACGGGCCACTCACGTGCTGTCTCTCACAGACATAGACACTTAGCCAGGCAGTCCCCCAAGTGCCCTGCCCGATAAGACACTGGAGGAAGGAGGTCTGTACAAAGTGTGAGATTGCACCTGCCTGGGAATGGGGGAGTCTCCTAGGACTGACACCACAGCGAGACCCCTGCAAGGCTGCCCACCCAGCTAATTCCTTGTCCACCCACCTTGCTCATCCAGGACTTGCGTTTGCACATGGCCTTCCTCCTCTTCACAGCCTCCCACAGTCGCCGCTGGCCTGTGGGGAAGGAAGGGGAACCTCATGCCGCTAAGGCAGCCCACAGGCCCAGGGAGGCTGCTGCCCACCTGCAGGCTTCCTTAGTCCCCCTGGGGTGGGGCGACCACCAGATACTGCCCAATACAATGACACCAGGAAAGAAGCCATCCTGACCAAGCAGGGGCTGCCATTAACCAGATGGTCACTGCATGCCACTTCTAAGCAGTGCTTTTCAAACTGGATGGAGGTGTTTAACCACCAAAATTGAACAGTAGAGCTCTTCCTCAACTTTTAAGAAAAAAAAAAAATCAAAGTAATGAATAGAATTTTCCCAATTTGAGTTTTTCCCCCATAAAATTTTATTATGTCACTGGCATCAGATTCCAACTATCCAGGCCAAATATGTCAAAGTCTACTGAGCACATTATACTTATTTAGCTATTTTCAGCTGAATGCACTAATAAGTTTCTAATATTCTACAAGGAACACCATGACTTCTAGATGCTACCACCATGGCTTTTAGGATAAATACATAGAAATGAGTCCAATTTATAGAGCAGATCTTTGTACATGGGAAAAAGAAAAAATGAGTTAAGCTTAGAGCAGATCTTTGTAAGACAGACAAAGAAAAAGAAAAAGAAAAATTAAGGGAAATTAGCACACCATCTGAGGTCTTTCTCTTCCGTTCTCCAAACAGAGCTCTGGACATCGACCCCTCTGGTATTCAGAACGGTGAACTGAACAGACTCCGTTCCACATTTACAGAAGAGGAGATAGAGAAATACACCCTGCAAATGTCTGAACAAAAAGGGGTGTGTTTTTAATCCTGAGTAGCCAGAGCTTTAAGTAAGACTTTATTCTCCTCAAAATCCAATTCACCTTTACGACCGCAAACCGTTCTCATGCCCTCACTGTGCGCCAGTGTGATGCCCTTCACCCTGCCTTGGGGACTCTTGGACAGGTGGCGGTAACTCCCAGCTATGCCCCAGCAGAGGGCTCTGCCATGTGGTTGGCAGTCCTGAGGATAGAGGTAAGCAGGGAAAATGAGGAGCAAGACAATGTTCCCACCTACCAGGCCGGCCCATGCCAATCTTCTCCAGGTCCTCATTCTTGACATACTCAAAGTGGGACAGGCGGGTGACGTTGAGATCATCGCGAAGCCTCAGGAAATACTGTTGCAGCTGCACCTCAGACAGCAGCTCCAGCAGCCAACCTGTGCCCTCCTCTGGCTGCATGCCGCTGCTCCCTAGCCTCTGTGGGGAGGGAACAAGGCTCAGGGACCCAGGAGATGGGGCGGCCACAGGGAACCCTGCCACAAGTGCCCTGGCTCACCCACACCCTACTGTGCTTCATGAGGAAGGACTCCACCACCTTCCTGTTCCCCGAACAGCTGTACAGAATAGCCTGCACCCACCTGCCCACTTCCTACAGCAACGGGTAGAATTAGGGCAGATGGGATACAGCCCAGGTCATGGAGTCAGGGTCTTAACTCCCCAAATCTGTGATCCGCAGCTGAGAAGCCTGAGATCAACCTCTCTGTCTGCAGGTTCACCATTCGCTCTTAAACTCCCGGAGTCACAAGCCCTTTGAGAATCTAATGAAAATTGTCAATTGTATCTCCAAAGAAATACAGTCTCACTCATATTTTAACCCAAAATTTTTGGGGGTGCAGACCTGATAGGCTGGCACAGAAAGAGCTCGGAACTAAATGAGCTCTTGCTAAATTTCTCCCAAAACCCGGTATGGTCAGAGTCTCTCCCCCGATCCGAGCTCCATTCCACGGGCCACCCTGAAGTGCCTCCCAGACCACAGCAACTGGAAGACATGGGCCAGAAGGGAGGCTGGGGCGGGCTTTCTGATACTGGCTCAAAGAGGCAGCACCGCTCAGCTCTTTTATCAACTGTTGTCACTACAGACTGGCCCAGCATTGACAAAACTTTCCATTTTTTTAAAGAAATACCAAAAATCTGAATTTCTATGTGAAATCTTGTCATTAAACATTTTTTTTAAAAGGTAATATGCGCACATGTAAAATATTCAAAAAGCACATGGGAGCCATAAAGCCTCATCCCTCCCCTACTGCACAGTCACCCAGCTCCCTGTGGCCGAAGCCCCCATGCCCAAAGCCCCATGCTTGAAGCCAGCTCCCCATGCCCCAAGCCAACTCCCCATGCCTGAAGTCAGCTGCCGTTACTGACTTAGGGATCCTTCCAGACTTTTTTTCCCCCTTGTTTCCACTGAACATTGTATCCTTCTTTTGACTTTCTAACTGTGCCAACCAATTCAAGTTTGAAATAAACTGGGCCCTGTGCACACATGCGCGTGCACTGTGCTGGCCAAACAAAACACATGTGCAGACCTCCATTAACTAAGGGGCCGCCCATATGTAACCTGTGATCTACATTGTCAGGGGCCCAGATGAAGAGACCAGTGGACCCCCAAAGCTAAGCACCCAACTCAACGGACAAGCCATCCTCGTCCCAGTAAAATGCCTCAGAGCCTAGGGAGTGGGCAGGCCAGGCCCTGACCCATGTTTAATCCCCGCCGAGAAAGACACAAAGGAGGAAAAAGGCCAGCTGCCCCATGACCCCCACCTCAAAGGCCCCCAGCCCAGCTCTCCTCACAGGTCACACTAAGAAGAGAAGCAGGCACTTGCAGCCCGGGCCCAGCGTGAGCCTCCTGCCCCCACAGTTCCCAGCGGCACTGCCAGCCCAGTGCCAGGATTCAGACTTTCCCAAGCAGCTCAGGGAAGTACAAAGGGTGCCACGAATAGGAATGAGAAGCCTCAGTTCTAGCCCTGGCTCTTCCCCAAGGCGGCTGGGCCGGAGGGAGGTTTCTGAACTGTTTCTAAACCCAGATGGTTCTCCCAAGGGATGTACAGTCTCCTAGGGAACATTTTTGGTTGTCACAATGTTGGGGGGCCACTAAGTGGCATTTAGTGTGTCACTGGGGAACAAGAACACAAGCTATCCTGTAATGCACAGAACAGTCTTCCACACTGTCCCAAATGCCACACAACTTAATTCATGTGGGTAAAGCATGTTTATAACCATTTGAACCTAGAATCGAATTTCATTTTACATATGAACAAGTCTTTTTGTAATTTTAATACTACTGAATTTTCCTGGATGGAAGTACTGTGTAACCTGAGGGAAAACTGGCCTTTACTTTGTTCAAAACTTAGCAAAAGTTGTTCACTATTAAGAAAACTGTCACTCAAGGCAACCCACCCTTATTCTCCCCAAATTCCCCTCAGTCAGCACTTGTAGATGCTGCTCTTGCAGGGCTTCCGCCTGATGTCTTAGCACCTGAGTGTACTGACATATCAGAATTCATGAAATGTTTCCTTTTATTTCTCCTTTACATTACAGGTGGCATTCTGTTGACTGACTATATATACGCACAGTAAACAGGTTATATTTCTATTAATTTTATTTAAGAAGAATAATGATAAAAAGGACTCACACTTCAACACTTACTATATGTTGGGCACAGTTCTAAGATTTTAGCTGTATTAATTCAACTTATCTTCAGCAAAACCATCTATTACACAAAGAATAAGGGGCTGTGGGCTTAAGAAGATAGAGCACCACTGCTTTCCAGGAGAAAGCCCCAAAGGTGCACCATGAAAATCGCTGACCTGGGCCTGGCCTCCCCCATCAGTACCCTATCCCTGGGCAAGGTGATCCCACCAACCACATGGATGGCTCAGCCCCAGGATGAGAAGACCTCCTCCTCTTCTTCTCCAGTCCCCAGGTCCCAGGGCTCCAGATGCCCCATTCCACCCCTGGAGACAGCTGCTCCTGAGAACAGCTCAAAGCCATGCCCTGGTGGTCAGGGCAGGGGAGACCCAGAGGCCCCTCCCCAAAGGCTGCCTAGAAAGCAGTCACCCTGTTCCTTTTCCCTGAAACACCAGCTAACAAATCTCCCTGCTCAGCGGGACACTCCCCTCCCTGCTCCCTCACCCAGGAACAGGGCTGCCCTGCGTGGGGGCTGTTGGAAGACTGGGCACTGGGACCCCAGTTAGAAGAAAGCAGCCAGGGTTCTAGTCCTATCTCTACCCCTCGGCCCAGGGTGACACTGGACAAGCCACCTTCTCTCGCCAGCTCCCACCCCCCAGCCCTCGCTTCTTTGTTTGTGAAGCACAGAGCACTGCGCAGTTCCCCCAGCTGGACTGGCTCCAGTTCCGTGTGCCCGGCCCCCAGCACAGCCCACAGTCTGCACACCTGTGTCTGACATGTGGAGCTCTCGTGGCTGGCATGCACACTTCCTGCACACACTTTTCTAGCGCACTAGTCAACAGGAATGCAGCAGCCGAAGGGGAGAGACCGCCTGGCCCGGCTCCCGTGTCAAGCCCACCGCCCTTCCCAGACCTGCGCTCAGCCCCTCAGTAAAGTGCTGGCTCTGAGGAGCTGATCCAGTCCCCAGCCAGTCCGACCCCTGCCCCCAGCCCCCACTCACTGTGTATAGTCGTCGCCGTAGTCTGGCCAGGAGAGGGAAGGAGAGCTCTAGGCCAGGGAACCGACGAGCTGCTGGCATCTCCACGAGCTGGACCCCCTGCTTGGGTCACTGGGGCTCTGGCCCGAAAAGTGGGGGAAGCAGGGGCCTCAGCTCCTGAATTTCAGGTTCTGCCCAGAAGGGAAGGTGGCCAGCAGTCTGCCCCAAGAGACCCCAAAATCCCACACCAGGGGTGGGAAATGGGGCAGAAGAATAGGGTGGGCCCTTTTCTTTGCTGCACAGCTGTTTCCACAGCCAGCCCCTCAGGCAGGGAGCAGGTTAGCTCTTCTCTGGGCCGGCTGCAGCCTGGGGCCTCTGTCCTGTGTCTCTGTCTTCTCTCCAGTGCAGTGGTCACAGCTCCAACCCTGCTCCCTGGCTCCCCCACCCGACTGCCCACCAGCCCTCCCTTCTCCCCTCCTCCCTCCCTACCCAGCTGAGCAGCTCTGACACTGGCTGAAAAGGGACCTTTCTGAATCCCTGCCAAGAGGGCGGTGGGAATGGGGGGACTCTTCCTTCTAGCCACCCACACTGACCCCCCTGCCTCCCCATACACAAGGCCCCCTGTCTCTGGCTTCCATCCCAGCCCCCACAGTTGCAGACAACTCCTGGGATTTTAGAGTGGGGACTACGTGAATCAAGCAACAATGTGCAAGAAGGGGATACCGGCCCCCACAGGGGTTTTTCTGGGGCTGTGGTGGGTAGTACACAGCCTGAGTTGGGGGCTTAGACCCCAGAGAGTCATTCCTGGACGCTGCAGGCAGACCCTTCAGAGACCACCCTCCCCCATCTTCCAGTCCCAGCCTTGGCTGGGCGTCTCCTGGCTCAGGCCCTAATGTGGCCCTGTTACCCTGGTGCCCGACGGAAATAGGAGGCCGGCAGCCTGCCAGAGTGGGGCAGTCCAGCCAAGGAGGGGGGATCTCCACCCCCTCCCCTGGGGTTGCCTTGTCTGCTGCCCACAACAGCCAGAGTACCTCCTCCCTAGACCAGCTGGCCAAGCTCCAAAACCCCCTCAAAACAAACAAATATGCCCCTAGACGCTGCTGGGATGCCCCCACCCAAAGCTGCAGGATTCCAGGCTATAGTATGTCTCTTATATAGCACTCCCCACACAGACAACAGCTCCAGCTAAAGGGAGCTAGAGATACTCCATCAAGCCCCTGTGGGCCCCCCATGTTCCTAGAGCTGACAAATGATCCCTCTGCTCCTCCTCAAGGGCACCAGCTGCTCTTACACACCCCTCACTACAGCCCCCAGACACACCTGACAGCTGCAGGAAGTCCTCTCAGGATCCCTCAACACCCCCTCCAGCAATACCCAGGGAGCCCCTGTTTCATGCACACTACTCTCTTGTCCCTATCCAGCTGGCCACCAACCAGCTCTGGGAGCCCCAGCTGGCTGGTGGGGAAGCAGCTGCAGTGAGGGAGTTTTGGGGAGTCAACATCCCAGGATCTCTTTCCTTGACCACTCTGGCAGGGAAGTACCTGAAGGGACACCGATTTCCTGGTCTGACCCTGGGGTAGGGACTTGGGGGGACACCCCCACAACAGTCCCTCTTCCCATCCTCATTATCCCAAAGCTTATAGAGAGAGCCATGTGCAGCCTCCATGGGTCTGAGTGGTTCATCAGTCTGAGGCTTGGGTCAGAGCTAATGGACAAGATGAGGTCGGGCTGAGGTCACACTGGAGCTGCTTTTTTCCCAAACCCCAGCAAACAATGTTCACAGCTCAGAGCAGCTTACTGTCCACCTCCCACTGGGCACCACCCTGAAGGAGACCCAGGAATTGACCTCAGGGGACAATTTAAGCAGGATTATTCCCTCTACTGCAAGAGGGGGGCTGCTAGATTGGAATGGCAGGTTAAAAATTCTAGCCACCCCTGAAGGATGCTCCCAAATCTACCAGAACCCCTTGCCTGGCTCTTCCTTTGGACTTTGGGTAATAACAAGACTCTGTAGCTTGCTTAGCAATCCAGCTGTGGGAGCTGTGAGGAAAAGCAAAGTATGGTCAGGGGTCAGAGCTCAGACCAGCCTGGACCCCCTTCTCCCACCAGCCCTGGAATACAGCCACCATCTTCCTGCCCGATTTGTCCTGTCAGCTGCTGCCCTCTGCCGGCCAGGAGAAAGTGCTTGATGTCTCAGGAAGGAGAGCGCCCCCATAAATACGTTGATCATATTTTCCAAAGCAAACACTTGATTTGACATGCACATTTGAAAGGCCAATAAGGAGGAATGTCCAGGGCACAGGGACTCAGTGCCCGTAAAAGACTAAACCCAAATCCTGGCAGTGCTTCCGGAGCTCCCATGGGGCACTGAAGAAAGCCCAAAGGGTAGCCTAATTGGGTCCCAGGGGACTCAGAGGCAGATGTCAGCATCAGTAATTGACTAACTCGCCCCACCCACAGTGACCTCCCACACCCACCCACCACTCCTCTTCACCCAGCCTCTCTGCCCCCTTGTCCCGGGGCCCAGGCACCCCTCACTCTTGAGGGGCGCTGCAGAGAGCAGGGCTTGGCCCTTAGCTCACCCGCAGTTGATGGGGTCTAGGGCCCAGCTACCTGGCTCCCCACCCCGCGTCCCCCGTTACCTGCTGTCCCTCCTCACCCCAGCCAGGCGCTGATATGCAGATCTCTCCCCCACAAAACCCAAACTCCAGCGTTAGGTCTACAGAGGGGCGCAGAGCCCTCCCGCGGCTACCTCCCCCACCCCCTCCAGCGGCACCGGCAGCGTCACTGCCCTGCGTCCCGAGGGGCCGGGCCTCAAGCATCCTTCAGGAAGGCGTGCGCTGCTAAAGCACTCTGCCCGGAAGGTCGATCCGAGCGCCAGCCCCCCCACCCCCACCCCACTCCATGCACCCTACAGCCTCCTATCCCGCCAGGGCCGGCCGCGTCTCTCCTGCTGGGGCTGCGGCCCGCCCTCCCCCTATCCTGTCCCCCTCCTCCATTCCAAGGAGCCGCAGCCTCTCTGCAGCGCTACAGGCTGACCCCCAGAGAGAGGGCCAGGTGCTGGGGCCCACCGTCACTGACCACGGAGCCACAGCTCCCGTCAGCTGCCTCTAGGACCCCAGGGCTCCACAGCCACCAATTAGGTCCTGGGGATTCAAGGGCAAAGGGGTGCATCGAGAAGCCCACAGAAGAGAAGCCCCCATCCTACCCCGACTTGAGATCTCTCCTCTAGACATTGGGCCTGCAGACTACCCCTCTACCAGCCCAACTTCCACTTGGCCCCAAGAAGGCGCCCACCTGCCGGGCTCCCTGCAGCTCCACTCCGCACTCCGCGCTCGGCTCAGCGCCCGAACCTGCCCACCCGCTCCAGGCCCAGCCTGAAAGCCCCGCCCCAGCGCCAGCTCCGCCCCCTCTCAGCCCGGCCTTGACACCTGCCTGCAGGCCCCCTACACTGCACCCGGCTGGGCTCAGGGGGGCGCTCAGGGCCAGGCAGAGCATGCAGCTAACTCTCTGGCCTTAGAAAAGTGCCTCGAGGAGCCGCTCCAACACGTGCCCACACGGGGCTCTGCCACCTGGCACTGGGGTGAGGCCACTGCTCACGGAGGAAGTCTCTCTGCAGAAGCTCCTCCTCTCCCTCCAGCTCCAAGGGCCCAGGGCGCCCCACGCACACCCTCTCATTCTGATGGCATCTGAAGCATCCACAGGTATTAAGGGCTGAGCTTAGGGCACCCTCACCCCTTCCGGGGCCAGGACAGAGGAAGAGGGAGATGCTGTGACACCCCCCTAAATGTGTTCGCGCACGCACACACACACACACACACACACACAAAACCTCAAGGCTGAGGAAAGAGACCTCCAGGAGGGCCCTAGGTGGGGTCCCAAGAGGCTCATTCTCCACAAATCCTTCTCCACCTTGAAGCAAGCGGGGTGAGGAATAACCCTGCCAGGCAGGGGGTCTTATTCCCAGCAGAAGCATCTCTACATCCTACTGCTGCTATGTCAGAAACTAGTTAGGGGAGCAGCTGTAAGAACCCCAAGTCAGGAGGCTCTGCAGAAGGAGAGGCTGAAAATTCCTGGCCCACATCTTCCCCTGGTTACATGAAGGGTCTGATCCAAACCATTCCTCCTTGCTTTCTCCCTACCTCCTCCTCCTGTACGCCCCTGACTCCTAATGCCGCCCGACTATAAAATGTCCACAGGATCCGAACTGCTTCTAGGATTTGCAAAACCCACCTGACATGTACAACCCTCTGGTCTATAATTTGCCCCCAGATCTCTAAAGGGAGCTGGCAGCAGCCAGGAACCAGCCTGCCTCTGCTGTCCACTCCCCTCCCCCAGCCTCTCCAATGCCATCAGTGAAGTGACAAATCCACACTGAGCAGCAGACATGACATGTAATTTCCGGCCAAAAAGATTTTTCCAAAACAATCTACCGTATTCTCAGGAATAGATGCCAACCCCACCTCCAAGCCAGCCCTCTCCCACCACTGCCCTCCGTCCTCTCCAAGCCCTGAAGGGAAAACAACATAGTGTGGGGCAGGAAGGGGGCTTACAGCTCGTCTCCCAGCCAGAGGATTATCTTGCCTCTACTCACCAGCCCCACCAAGCCTACCCAGCCTCAACTTACCCTCTGTATGCAGGGGCCAAGCTTCTGGACGGAGGCCAGGCTGGTTCCCCTTGGGACCTCATCCCAGAGGGAACTGTACCAGGCAACCCACACCTTCAGGTCTGGGGAGAAGCCTGGCCAGGGGCCAAGGGAGAGAAGCGGGTGATTCAGACACATACCGTGGCTATGCACACCCTCTCCATCTCCAGGCCACAGACTCCCTCCCCAGGAAGCTGGGCAGCTGAGGTCCTGAGGACAGGCAAGGCCGAGGCCAGTCTGTCAGTGATACCAGGCACACAGGCCCCAACGCCAGCCTGGAGGCCTCTTCACCCTACTTAACTGCTGGTATTTCCTAAGACTTTTGAACTCACCCTTCTTTCTCTTCTCAGTGGAAGGTCCACTCCGTGGGAGTCACTTCCCCTCCTCCCAGGGCTCCGCTTATCACTATGTGCTGTCTGTCTCCATTCCTGAGCTCCTGAAGCTCGAGCCCATGTACAGAACAGCTCCACCAGGGGGATGCACAGGTATCCAAGC